TCCAAAAAATTCTGTGATATTGACTCTCTACCATCTACTACTATCCTCCTAAAGTCCTTGGCATACGAACGTGATTTTTGCTCAGCTTAAAATTACTCCTCTTATGGAAGTTCTAGCAAAATCCAAATTTTTGAAATTTTAGGACATTTTAAGTGAGATAGTATGAGAAACCCAAAAACTGCCAAATTAATTAAAGAAACTAACTTTTTTAGAGTGACTTGACTACTTTCATAGAAATTCATTATATTCAAGCTCTCCTGCACTAGCGTATTGACAGCTGCAGAGTCGACCCTTTTTCTCAAGAGTTTGTCGAAGCTTAACCAACGCACTGTCATGCTCTGAACAAGCTAAAACAGACAAATGGTGATAGTTTCAATTAGCAGGACAGCAAACAAACCTGATCCTTTGCTCTACTTTCTACAAATCGAACAGTAATAACGAAGACACAATCCCCTGATATGATAGGAGCATGGTGTAAATAACCGATGTCTTCAATTCCAAGCGCTGTGTGCATCGTCGTTACCGCATCCATGAGCTTTTTTCGAAAATAAGAAGACTTCGTGGTTAACTCTTAATACTCTTAAAGAAATGACGGTTACCTGAGACAGGTATCGATATTTGAATTATCGGGGACTGAATCTGACAGGGTTCCGAGTTCCTCCCAACAAAAAGACATCTTCATCAGCCAGAGAAAATCCTCATTTGCAATAGTAGTGACGTTATTATCAACCTAACTATGTTAGATTATAGGCTGAACGTCGGAGTACTGTTGATTACCTGAATCAGGGGTAAACAGTCGTCATTTGTACATAGAACTTTACCGTCGGTATAAAGTATTGATCCTAGATAGATCCCTCTGAAATGAATTCGAAGTGTAACAAATAGAGTAAACAGAGCGATTTTTTCAAATGAAAAATTAGGAGAAAATGTGATGTTATTCGTACTGATTGATGTCATCGAACCTCGTTGCATTTTTTGAAAATTTCCTGCTAGCCATAAAGAATTCCTTCAAGCCGCTCTTCTTCTTTTTGATGATATCCTCGGGAAAGGAGAAAACTGGAAAGAGGAATGTTGGAAGGGAAGCTAGTGTAAAACCCACGGGTCACTTTTATCCCTATGGACTAATTGAAAGTTTCTTCACCAGCGAATGTGGGTTT